CATTAGTTTCACTGTATAAATATAACTTGTGATCTGAGGTCATCTTACATTTTTGTGCTTATTTGCATGAATTATATATTTAGGGATCACTTTAAAATCTATTTTTATTTTGTTTATAACTAAAATTTTTATTCCAAACAGTTCATAAAAATTAAGAAAGTTTTTTACTTTTTAAAGTATTATTTATCTTGCTCACATGGGTCAAATTTAGTATTTTTAAGTTCCTTCAAATATAGATAACTTAGTATAAGTGCATCTAGTTTTATGAAAATACACGCTAATAATTGTTTATATTAAATAGAAAAGAATCATTTGTTTATATGATCTTTGAATGATTTATACTTTAAGCTATGGGTAATTCTTTTCATGCTGATATGCTGATTGTGAGTGTTGTCCGTCCTGGTGGGTGAATATATTCACTCTAGGTTCCCAAGTTTCAATCTGGTGGTAGTAGAGGGGCTAATATGAGTGAGAGACTTATGTACTGAGCTTAAAAAGGGTTAATCATTTCTCCCACCCTGCACTGATCTAATGAGAGAAAAGGTAGTGGAGCCCACAGCAGGCCGCTTGTTACTGTTGACGTCAGTGCAAACCATGATAGAAATGTTTAGCCCTAAGGGAGGTTTATGATTGAACAAAAACACTAGAGTTATTTTGATAAGGGATAATGGTGATGGGGCCAAAACTATAGCCATCCCTGCGCTCTGAAGCAGGCGAAGGATAAGGGGGTTCAAGAATTTGCTCTTCTTGACAAACAAATGATAAATTCTGTTAGAAAAATAAACTCATAATTTGGTCAATTTGCAACAAAATGGTGAAAGAATTAACCTGTATATTTTAGGACTTGGCAAGAGGAGATGTGGGAAAAATAGTTTAGTATCTCTAATCTGGCTCAATTTTTGCTGTAGAATTGGAAACAAAGCAGAAAATTAATGCTTAAACATATTTAACAATACCACACCAAATGTTGTAAGTCCAAAAGGAAAATTGAAACTGTATGAGGAAGAAGAGCAAAACTTTTTCTCACAAGTACTTATGTTTTAAATTTGAAGTCACAGTTTTCTTAGAATTCCTACAAGTAGAAAGGAGCTCTGATGGTGCTGTAGGATAAATATTGGGCTGCTAACTTCAAGGTTTGCAGTTTTAACCCACCAGTTCTGTAGGAGAAAGATGAGGCTTTCTGCTCCCTTAAAATTTACTGCCTAGGAAACCTATTACAGGGTTGCTATGAGTCAGAATTGACTCAATGACACTGAGTTTGGTTTTGAGTTCTAACTGCTGCCGTTGCTGCTGTGTGCCCTCAGGTTTGGTACCAACTCATAGTGACACTGTATAGAGTTTCCAAGGTTGTAAATCTCAACAGAAGCAGACAGCTTCATCTTACTACTGCAGAATCAATGCTGATCTTGCAGCTTTTAGTGGTCCAATGTGAAACCCACTATGTTATCAGGGCTCCTTTGAGTTATACTTGTTCTTGTTGGTAAGTGCTGTCACATCGGTTCCAACTCATACTGACCTCCAACCTTGAGATCCAGTGCTTATCCTATAGCACACCTGTTGTTGGTTTCAGATACCATTTTTCTTGCAATTTTTCTTTCTTGGTAGTATGATGTGCTTCTGCCTTTTGAAAGGAGGATTTAATTTATGCATGCCTTTACTCTAAGAATCTTTCCATAATGAAAGGCATTGTTGTTGTTAGGTACCATCAAGTCCATAGTGACTCATAGCAACCCTGTGTGAAACAAAACAAAAAACAAAACAAAACAAAAGGTTGGTCCTGCACCAACCTCCCAGTCCTTGCTATGTTTGAGACCATTGCTGCTGCCACAGTGCCTATCCATCTTGATGGAGGTCTTCCTCTTTTTCTCTGACCCACCACTTTATCAAACAAGATATCCTTCGCTAGGGACTGGTCCCTTCTGACACTATGTACAAAGTTTGATAGATGAAATCTGGGCATTATGTCTTCCAAGGAGCATTCTGGTTGTACTTCTTCTAACACAGACCTGTTTGTTCTTCCAGCAGTCCATGGTACTTGCAATATTTTCCTCCAACACCGTAACTCAAATGCATCAGTTCTTCTATGGTCTTCCTTATTCCCTGTCCAACTTTCACATGCGTATAAGGTTATTAAAAATACCATAGCTTGGGTCAAGCACACCTTAGTCCTCAAAACGACACCTTTGCTCTTGAACACTTTAAAGAGGTCTTGTGCAGCAGATTTGCGTAATGCAATATGTTGTTCGATTTCTTGACTGCAGCTTCCATAATTGTCAATTGTTGGTCCAAGTAAAATGACGTCTTTGAAAATTTCAGTCTTTTCTCCATTTTCATGGGTGTTGTTTATTGATCCTGTGGTTAAGGATTTTTGTTTTCTTTACATTGAGGTGCAACCCATACCGAAGGCTCTGGTCTTTAATCTTCATCAGTAAGTATTTTTTCTCTTTCAGCAAGCAAGGTTGTATTATCTGCATATCACAGGTTGTTAATGAGTCCAATCCTGATGCCCTGTTTTAAGTGTAGTGAAAAAGTACAACCCTGTCGCACACCTTTCCTAATTTTATACTGTATGTTTAGTCACTGAAAACCTTATGAATAGCAGTGGAACACTGTCAGATATCACCTGAATATTGAATATTGGAACACGATGAAGAACACCAGAAAGTTGTCAGATATAGTTCTGGAAGAGGAGCCCCTCAGGTTGAAAGGCACTTTAAAAATACGACTCGGGAACATGTGACGATGTGAATGTAGTAAAGAAAGGCATAAAAGCCAGAGTGTATTACTTTCTGTGGAATTTGACTTTTGAAAATGAAATCTTTTTCTCGGATTAATTTGTGATTTTAATTAGATGCTGTCTATAGGAGCTCTGATAGCGTAGTGGTTACGAATCGGGCTGCAAACTTCAAGGTCAGCAGTTTGAAACTACCAACTCTTCCGCGGGAGAAAGAAGAGGCTTTCTGCTCCTGTAAAGATTTACAGCCTCAGAAACCCCGAACAGGGTCACTATGAGTCGGAACCGACTCCTCAGCACATACCAACAACAATAATAGCTTACCAAAACCATGACTTTTAAAAAAATGCTTCTCTAAGTTCTTGAAATTTCAATGATAGCAGATTAAAGACCACTTCCCCCATCTCCCCAAGAGAAGAATTTGTATGCAAGCCCCAACAGTAGTGAGGTTTGTTATATTTGATGTATTGGGACAATGAGTAGGTTGTCTTTATTTTTAAATGGGTCATTTTTTGTCACATTATTGCTTTGCTGTTCCTGGTACAACATGTGCTTGTTCTGTAAAAATCTTCCTCATTTGGTCTTCTGGAGATTCCGGAAAATTGAATTTTCTTCTATTTAAAAGATGTTATGAAACAGTGAGGTCCAGGTAGCTTTATATAGGGTCTGCATATTCCCTTGTCTACATGTCATGTACGGTGTGGTGCTGTAAGGTAAGCATTGCAGTGGTAACTTTGAGGTCGGTGATCCAAACCCACCAGCCGCTCCTCGGAAACCTTGTACTGGATTGCTGTGAGTCAGAACTGATGCTAGGGTACATAGCAAGAGCAACAACAGGTGTCATGGGATTGAATGTGATAGTCATACTTGTTTTAAAATTGGTTTCTTACAGGATTTTGACTTAATTTTAGATGTCAGGCTAAGGACTTGACTTTAAGATGAGTGTCTTCTGCTCTGAGAATTTAAACTTAAAAACATACTGACTTGTCTTATATTGTCTTCTGTTGAATTTTAAAGGATATTTTGTGGCTGCTGATGCTGGTCATGACTCCTTAGCATAGGAAACAACCCTTCTGTTAATCACTTTACGTACATTTAATCTTAACATTTTAGGAAATAGCATTATAATAACCAATTTACAGAAGAAAGAAATGCTCTGAGAGAATCAAATACCTACCTAAAGTCACCTGTGTGGTCTCTGATGTCCTTACCTTATATCAGACTGCCTGCCAAATAAACTATATGCATATGTAACTAATGTTTAATGTATATACAAACATGCATTTTTAAAACAAATAGGCATTTCATAGTGTATTTCATTAGTTCTTAGCATGTGGACTTAGGCTCCTGAGTTTTGTTTGTAGGTATTAAATGTTTGAGTTTTTTAAAACCCAAACACTTGTTAACTAATCCTGAAAAAAAGAAGGAATAATTCTTATCTGGCACCATCTCCTCCTGCTTGTGAGTCTGGAGGGTACAGCTCCCAGCTCGGGCATGTTTCCTACAGGTATATTAACTTCCTGAGCAGAGCACACACAAATAGGTAACGTTTTGAAATGCAACTAACTGTTTTAGCTCTAGATTTAGAACCTGACCCATAGTTAGGGTTCAGTAGGTACTGAATTGAATAAGCTTGCCATTCATACTTCTACCTAAGAGACACTTAGTCATATAAAACATCCAAAAATCGATTTCAAATTTACTAAATTTTGTAGCATCTTTTTATATTTGAATATGTGAGGCATGATGAATATTTTGCTGATTTTAAAATAAAGCTAATGACATTGGTGTAGTTACTGTAGATTCATGTAAAATTATAGCAGGGGTATAGTTTTTCTATAAAACTATATAGTAAATATTTCAGATTTTGTAGGGGCCATGAAATTTGTGACAACTACTCAACTCTGCTGAAAACCAGCTATGAACAGTGCATACATGAATGGGTGTGGCTGCCACCCAGTAAAGATTTATTTACAAAAACAGGACAAGATTTGTCTTTTGACCATAGCGTATACACCTTTCTTTATAAGGAAGTGCTTATCCTTATCACCCTAACTTGCTCTGGATTCTTAAATAATTTTAGAGAAAATTTTCATGGCATGCACGCACAGTGCACCTATAAAAACCATTTGATTGTTTGTTTATATTAGTTGATGATGTCGGAATGTTACAAGTAATTATTGCAGGTTTTACATTATAGAAACTTACTCTAAGTTATATTTGCTGAAGTTACCAATGCTTGGTTGTGTTTTTTTCCTTACCCCAGGGAGATTCCTTACCAGCAGGTGATGACTCACCATTTTCTGATTCTGTCACTTTGGAACAAACTACCAGTAGCATTGGTGGATCCAGTGGGCGTGTTAGTTTATGGATGCAGTGGGTGCTCCCCAAAATTACTGTCAAGCTCTTTGCTCCTGATCCTGAGAATAAAGGCACAGGTACAAGTCTATTTTTCTTCCCAAATTAGATGATTAAACACAAAGGAAATATTAGAATTGTTTTTTTATTGTCATTTATAATTGAGTAAATATCACTAGATCTAATTGAAGTGATGTCTGTTAGCAATACTAATAGTTGACTCTTGCCAATATTTAGTATGTATGTGTTTTTATGCACATATTCTCTGACTTTGTGATATGTAACTATGTCTTGTTCGTATTGAACTTCACTCTAAAGCCTATGAGATTAGTTTTCACAAATTATCATATTGACACAGTATATTATTGTCATTCCATGATTTGTAAAGATCCTCCATTGGTATCTGAGCATAGCACTTCTAACATTAACTGGGATTACTACGCTCTTGAAATACGTTACATTGTTATTAATATTCACTTATTATTTAAGAAGCATGTGTGGTTAGTGAACAGATTGATCTCAGTGCCTCTCTAGATGTCCAGGATGTATGTGAAAGCTAAATGTAGAAGAGCAAATGTTAATACTGATTATAAAGCCTCTATGGATAATAATCTGGCTCTTTTTTTGCAGAGGTTTGTATGGTCAGTGAACTAGAGGATCTCAGTGCTTCCATAGATGTCCAGGATGTATACACCAAAGTCAAATGTAAAATAGAGAGTTTCAATATTGATCACTACAGAAGCAGGTAAATTATACATGATGAATGTGGAAAAATCTATGTATTTTTAATTAAGTCAGTTTAAGAATTTTTCATTTTAATTTGGCTAATTATTTGTTTTTAAAAATTCTTATTTGTTTTAAAAAAAACAATAATTTAATTATTATTAAATTATTTCTTTCCCAAAGAAGATTTTTTACAAAGTTAAATTATTTAATTTTACATAGTTTTTATTTGTATATGGAAATATAAAAATGTTTTGTTTTATAAGATGATTAAGTCTGTTTGTAATATCTTCATTGCCATTTTAAATGAAAAAAAGCTGCTTTTTCCAATCATCTCACATCATATATTATATGTGTTGTGTTTTTGTTAAGATGATAGAAACACAGCTAGTGGCTCTTGTTTTTGCTGCATACTCCCCATTCATTCTTTTATATTAGTGTTTATCGTACATTGAAAATGGAAGAATATCTCACATCTTTTGACAATCTGTGTTGTTGTTGTTGTTGTTAAGTGCCATCGAGTTGGTTCCGATTCTGCAACCCTGTATAGGGTTTCCAAGGAGCATCTCGTGAGTTTAAACCAGCAACCTTTGAAATCTGCTTATCCTACAGTGTTACTCTTTATACTACAAATGATCAGTATACTTGTGGTGGAGGTTTCTAGAGCCATATCATTCCTTCCATAATAAATTTATTTGAAAAGGCTGAAAACATACAATTATTATTTGTTTGCAATAATAAGTAATGGTAGTGAAAAGTTAAGTTTTAGATATTTTCACAAAGTTCTATTACGGTTTTGTCATTAATTTTTCCCAAACAAAAAGTTTTTAAACTCTATGCTATATACCAGTACCTGGTGTTTTGCTTCTTAAAATTGAAATATAATCAACATACCATAACATTCACAAGTCTTCTTTTTAAATTATTTTTTGAAAAGCATAATATTTTAAAATTTCACATTGTTTTGCCTTAGATAGGCTTAAAAAATCCTTTTTTTCTCGATTCTTAATATTTATTTATTCAATAGTTGTTTACTGAATACCTACAAAAACATGTATTTCTCTACACATATACATGTATTTCATGCCCTAAAAATAGTCTTTATTTAACAAGTTTCTAATTCTGTATTAAAGACATTTCCGTTTTTATCTTTTATTACATATAACATATTATTTATGTTAATAACTACTCATCTGACAGCGGCCATACCACAGCTGAAACTTTGTGCTATAATTGTAAAATACAAAATATCATTCTGGATATATACTAAGACCTGTTTTAATACTGTTATCTTACCAAGCAGATGAGAATCATTTTTGTTACAGATTTTAATGGCAAATGATTAATTGGAATTTAGTAATGTATTGTTTAGCTTTTTAGTTGTTGTCCAATGATATGTATCATATCAAAATAATCATTTCAAGCAGTTTATTAATATAATATTATAGTTGAAATAATTTCTTAAGATGTTTATGTTATAATTTGTATTCTATTTCACTGTTGATTTTTTCATTAAATTTATCAAAATTTAAAATATTTAATAAGTTTATTTATTTATTCAATCAAAACTTTATTGAATGTCTATTATAAATGATACCCTCGCCTAAGCACTGGAATATATTATTTAACAAAAGTAGACTTAAATCCTACCCTCTGACCTACTGCTTAGTGGGAGACATAGAAATAATCAACCAAATACACTTTACCATTGGAACAGACTATCAATGCAGTACTGTCAGGATGTAGTGCTAAATTGTTCTTTTGATTGTATTGTTATATCCATCTTTTAGTTCAGGATAGTGTTGTTTACATCATAATTTTGAAATAGTCATATATGCTCAATTTTTTAACTCAGAAAATTTGAATAGAATAGATAAGGTGAACTTATGTTTTCCAGGCCAGGGGAAGGTTGGCAGTCAGGACATTTTGAAGGAGTATGTCTACAGTGCAAAGAAAAACCTGTGGTGAGAATCATTTAGTAACTATGATTTTTGAAAATTACAAAACTTTGTCTTTGTTTTATATGTAATAGGACTAATGGTTACAAAAATTAGAGCTCAGAATAAATTCTTTTTGACCTAGCCTCCAATATTTCAGTATGTTTCAAAACTCTTGATTTCTTTAAGATGATCATGTTTTGTAATCATTTTCCTGTTTTACCAATTATGCAAACTTATCAAAAAAGTAAAGGTAAGATTGCTTTTTATTAATAAACAGTATCATTAGTGTATTATTTTGTTGATTTTTAAAAAGTTATTCCCATCTCATAACTGAGTTCATGCTGGAGTTTTCTTTACTGTAAGCTAAACACGGTGATTTTGCACTAAAAACAATTATTTTTTGTTTACTTCCATTAACAATGCTTTTGCAGAAGATGGACCAGACAGAGGCCATACTCTAGCAGTGGCTCAAACCTAAATCTGTGCAAAACAAAGCAGAATGAAAAGCTATCCAGATTTTTTTGCTTATGGCTTTTATTGCTTTTTGTCTTTTCACCTTCTTTGCTCCTGCCCATCACTTCAAGCCTTGGGGAAGAGTGTTGGTCTTTGGGGCAATGTGGAGGTGTCTTCCTGTCCTGCACTGACAAGCTGAACAGACGCACATTGTTGGTTCGACCCATCAGCAAGCAGGACCCTTTCAGTAATTGCTCTGGCTTCTTTCCTTCTGTAAGAAATCATTCTTAAATTATGCTACCGAGCTGCCATTAACAAGAACCCAGAGAAGGAATTTGACCTTCCCATAGAGTCAACTCTTGATTTCCTTGTCGTGTATGTCATTCAGTGTGTCAGTTAACTATAATGTATTTTTGTCATTGACTGGCTTTCTACTGTGGTTTGTTTGTGTGTCACTTACACATGCTTTTTGTCACTCTGCTTTTATAAATATGAACTAACTTTAAGAAAATCAAATCAGGACATTGAATATAATGTCCTTTTTATATTGTGCATTTGAATTGAATGATCAAGAGTTGACAGTACTGCTTTTATTTATTTTTTTATGATTCTTAATGAGATTGCTTTTTTTGGTTATTTTCTTCTATTGTTATACTATTGCCTTCTCACAGCTAATTCAAAGTACCACATTTGGTGTCCTCTTTAATCTGGACAAGTCTATACTTCTGTCATTGATTGCATAGTAGGTAAATGCTATACTCTGTAAACCCCTGACTTTTACAGAAGCTTAGCTCTTTGCTTACTCTGATTTTTCTAATGACACAACATATCTGAATATATTCTCAAGCTATCTTTTAAGTGACGCTCTTAAAACGTGTAGTGGTACATGTAATCGTTTTATATTAAGAGCAGATTGGTAATAACTCTTAAGAACTTATCAAATCATTGCAGATATTATATATTCTCTCTGCAAATGTGAACTACTTATCCATTTCTATTGTTTTATATAGATCTAAGGGGAGTTCATATAAATCTAGCATTTTTAAAATTAATAACATAAATAATTGTGTTTCTTGATTTAATATTTAATACCTTGCATGGTAAATGATGTTTTTCCGATTTGATTGATTTAAAATATTTTAAAAGATATACTCTTGTTAGTGCTGGAAAAAGATATGTGCAAAGTATGGCTTTCATGTCTGTGGTTCTCTTTAGATTCATTTTCCACTGAGTGTTCATCAGTGTCCATTAGGAAAATGTTTTCTAATTTCAGCTTGTATTAAGAAAACCCAGTTTTTGTTAACATCTTTAAAGATGTTCCCTTGAATATTAATTTTTCTCTATTTTTATTATTATCTTAGTAGCAATTAAATTTTCTAACTTTTAAGTAGTATAAAATATTTGATAAATGTAATAAATTGTCATATATAATAATATGATGCATAGCATATATAATTGTGTATTATTCTCATGTAATAAAAATTATATGACAAATTATACATAATGTTCTGTGAAAAGTAATATTTATTTTATCTGAATTCCAGTTAGTATTCATTCCTTTTTCATTTTTTCCTTATATTAAGGGAATGAAGGAAATAACACTTATTTGAAAAATAATGTAACTCTTATTAAAACAAATGACTTCTTATATTCATGGTGTTTACTTTTTTAAGAGTTTACATTCAATATTTGTACAAATATTTTTTCAGATCAAAGTATTCGTATGTAAAACAGCTGTCATACTATTCTTAGGATTCAGATGTTGCTGTTAGTTAACATAGCCTCTGTGTTGGATTATTTTCACAGTAGTAGTTCCTCACAAAAGTCCAGTTTAGATACAAATGCAAAGTTGCCTGTGTTCTACCCACTCCCTGAATCCGAACCTGAACAATCACCTTCTCCACCCATTTTTACCTGCTCTTTAGCAATTGGAAACAGTTACTAATAGATAAAAAATTATTAGGCCTGAGGAGAGGGGTTGGGAAGCTTAAATATAATTGTTGTTATTGTTAAGTGCAGTTGAGTTGGTTCTGACCCAGATTTCTGGAATGTAATTATTGTTGTTGTTAAGTGCCATCGAGTCGATTTTGACCCATAGCTACGCTATATAGGGTTTCCAAGGAGCAGCTGGTGAGTTTGAACCACCAACCATACGGTTCAAATGACTGCAGTCTGATACATTAGCCCACAGCGTATTAGCCAGGACTCCCCTGGGCTGTAATAGCTCACTATAATTTTAGATTGAATAATTACCATAAAATAATTTATTTACATTAATGGGTTCTAAGAAATATCAGTCTTAATATTGAGGAATACACAAACATAAACTTCACTCTTTTCAAAATATGCTCTTTTTATTATAATTTGTCTACAGAGTACAATTTAAATTTGAAAATACAACTAATTTTGTCAAAAATATTATTGTTACGATGTAATGTTATATCTTAATTTACAGTATTATACTTCAGGAGTATGAGTTGTAAAAGAGTTGATAGGTTTGTAAACAAGGGGACAGTCACTGAAAATGCACAAGTTTTAAAACACAAATATTGTCATGTTACTATTTCCAGTGAGCATACACTAACTGGTTAGCTCACTTATCAATGCAGATATCAATGAGGCTCATCTGATGAGCTCTATGAGTTGGAACCAACTTGAAGCACCAACAATATCAGTGCTCTTCTGGGGGCCCTGGTGTCGCACTGTTTTAAGCATTCAGCGGCTAACTGAAAGGTCGGCAGTTCAAACCCACCAGTCTACTCTGCTTCAGTCAGATTATGACCTGGGAAGCCCTATGGGACACTTCTATTCTGTTCTGTAGGATTGCTATAAGTCAGCTTGACTCAGTAAATTTGCCAGTGAATTTGGTTTTCAGTTTATCTTCATATAAGCCCAGTTATCAAAGGAAAGCTTTTAACTATAAAGTACCACATATTTCAGGCAATCATCTTGCCTATTTGAGATCCTGATCACAAATAAAAATGCAGTATGTGGTTCATTTTCAGTTTCACCTGAATAAACATGACAACATATTGATACCTTTAATAAAAAAATCAGCAACAGTAGACAGAATCTCTATGTGATCTATAAGTTCTTATGCAAATCAGGAAACGAAGATGCAATGTTAAAAACCAGAAAAAAAGAATGAAATACTCTTGAGTTCTAAACTAGAACTCAGGATTACTAATTTTCCATTTAATTATTGTAACATTCTTGGAGGCTTTGGCCCATACACAGAATTGATCCGTAATGTGGCCATTAACAGGCATAGGATTGGTAAGACTCAATAAAATGTTAAAATACTAATTGAAGTAATTTTCTGCTTTGAAATAGTTATTTCTTTTATTTAAGTAAATGTTTATTTTGCTTTCCTTTTTCTGGAACAGACTACCACAAAACTTTTAGATGGCTCCCATCAGCAGCATGGATTTCTCTCTCTGACATACACAAAAGCTGTAACAAAAAATGTCCGCCACAAATTGATATCAAGAAATGAACGAAGAAGTTTCCATAAGTTATCAGAAGGTTTAACAGATGGTTCTCCTCATTTTCTTCATGAGATTCTTCTTTCAGCACAAGCCTTTGATGTTGTCCTTTGTTTTCCTTTACTTAATGCCATTGCAAGTATATTTCAAACTAAACTACCAAGGACTCAAAAAGAGAAAAGAAACTCTTCTGGTCAGCCCATGAGGACCCATACGCTGACTTCACGTAACTTACCTTTGATTTACATCAACACAAGTGTAATCAGAATTTTCGTTCCCAAAACAGAGGAAATACAGCCTACTATTGGAGGTACTGTCTTCTGATTTGTTTGTTTGAATAATTTTCTTTTAGAAGATTTAGCTTTCAGTTTGTTTTTTGTGTTTTAAGACACGGGCAGCTGATTTAATTTTCATTTTGGTGTATTTTAGCAGTAAATATATTATTGTCATTCTAGAAATCCAGGAAATAGGTCAGGAATACTGGGTAGATGTGTGACTCTATTATTGTTGTTGTTGTTAAGTGCTGTCCAGTTGGTTCGGATGCATACAGACCCGGTACAGGGTGTTCAGGGAGCAGCTGGTGAGGTCGAACTGACGAATTTATGGTTCAAACCAATCTTGCGGTCGAGAGATTATCTTAAAGTGCCGCATTATTAGGAGATTACATTTCCATTATTTGCTAGAGTAGAAAATATGAGAGGTATTTTTTCAGCATTTTTGTTAGTGAAGGTTATACTTTTATCTGTTTTATTAAACTCAACTGTAGGTAGATTTTATATATATATATATATGTGTGTGTGTGTATGTATATATATGCACACACATGTATATTCACAAAATTTAATTTTAAAAAGTGACCATCATTATAAAATGTACTAAAATTATATGCTTTCATGTTTACCCAATGTTTCCTAAGACAGAGCTTAGAAAAAATGGTTACTTACCTTGTTTCTGTGTTTTCTTCTAAGATTCTTAGTGCATTCTGAAACTATTCTATGGTTTTGTGTGTTTTCCTTTTTAAGTCTTTATCCCTACTGCTTTTAAATCCTGCATTCCTCCCCATGTCTTCCCCCTCCTCCACCATTTTGAGTCAACTTCCTTCTTGTGGTAAGTGTCTCCCCTCACCCAAGTTAACACCAAGTATCTACCATCCAGCCGATTAAATGATTCCCCCTCTTACCCCCTGCGTTGCACTCCTGGTAACCATCAAAGGATGTTTCTTTCAGTGTGAAAACCTTTTCTTGACTTTTTATAGTAGTGGTCTCATACAGTATTTATCCTTTTATGATTAATTTCACTTAGTTTAATGTCCTCCTGTTTCTTCCATGCTATGAGGTGTTTTGTGGATTTATTATTGTTATTTGCTTAGTATTCCATTGTGTATATGTACCAAAGTTAGCTTATTCATTCCTCCGTTGGTGGGCATTTAGGTTTTTTCCAACTTTCTGCTATTGTGAATAGTGCTTCCATGAATACAAGTATATAAATTTATTCATGTCACAGCTCGAAGTTATGTAGGTTATAAACTGAGTAGAGGGATGACTGGCTCATATGATATTTCTATTTCCAGTGTTTCAAGGAAATGCCATACCAATTCCCCCAGTGGTTACACCATTTTACAGTCCCATCAACAGGTGTATTTTACTATATTTGGAATTGTTTCTTTAATGTTTTTTTCACCACACAGAACAAATCATTATGTATGCTATATACTAAGAGAGATAGTTTGCTAACTGATTTAGATATGAGCCATACCTAACTATTCCATTTTATGTACAAATTCAATTTACAGACAGATTTAGGAAGGGAAACCATTCATAATCTGGGGGATTACCTGTACCCATCTTCTGACAATATAATCTTCCATATTTCTCTATGGACTTTAGGAGTTATTTTAAATTTAAAAATCTTTAATGCTAAAAATTTTTGCAATAAACAACATTTTAGGTGTGATTTTTGGTGACTTGGCTTGATGTACCTGGAGAATAAATGCCTAACAAAATGCTAAATCAGATGTTAAGAGAGACTGTCAAATTACTGTTTCAAACGGTGCAACAATTTATACGATTTTCACATTTGATCCCTAATAGTGGCCTACCAAACTTTGAGTCTTTATCACTCTCATTGTTGAAAAATCCACCAGTTTCTAAGAAGTTACAAATACACTCCTTCTCAATGAATAAGAGTACTTTGTATAGTAAGCTTTTTGCCTGCATATATTACATACATCTTTGCATTTGTAATTTTTGCCCTCTGCTTTATTTGTCTGTGTTTGTGTATATATGTCTGTGTGTGTATGTTTGTATAAAAATTCTGAGGTATTATGAACTGCTGGAATATCTACCTGAAATTACAAACATAAGAACGCATGCCCAAAGTTAACAGATTTTGATATGTTGCATTGTTAGCTTTTTTTTTTTGACACGTTGTATCCATTGCTACTATTAATTGAAATGATCATAATTTACCTATGAAAAGGTTAGAGTATATATTTCTTTATTGAAGTGAAACTCACATAATATAAAACTCACCTTTTTACCACTTTAAAGTGTAGAGAATTTTTATATGTATATATTCATGTTGAAAATCAAAGATTTCCATTTAACATATTTGAAAATTATAATGTGACTAATAAGGAAAATAATTGAAGCAGCCATTGCTGTAGAAATAAATATGAATCATTAAATAACTAGTAACATAGTCAAAAGCAAAGGATGGTATTCATTGTAGTCTAGAAAAACTTCATAAAGGACCTTAGTTGAGTAATATTTTTATCCAGTTTATTAAATTAAAATATGTGTGTAAGCTTTGCTATAATCAGTTTAATCGCAACACTAAATTTTGCCATGTGATACCACTGAGAAACATTTCCGTTATAAAATCATCACTGAATAATCATTTCTCCACAACTCAGAAATGATCCGTAGATGAAATGTGACTTCATTTCCTATGAATATCCCTAAAGATCACTTGTTGTTTTGTGTCATCAACTTGGTTCTGACTCATTGACCTTATGTAGGATTTCTGAAAGTGGCTGGTGGGTTTGAACTTCTGACCTTGTTGTTACCAGTTCAGTGCTTAGTCTACAACTTTTAATGGTCATTATTTTACACATTTATTTGAACTATCTTTTGGTCTTCAACTGAAAATACGTCAATAGCTAAATAAAACCTTTGGTTGGTAGCTTTCGGTAGAGCAGTCACCATTGCTATGTGCCATTGAGTCGGTTCTGATTTGTAGCAACCCTGTTTAGGGTTTCTGAGGATCAGCTAGTGAGTTTGAACCACCAACTTTGCAGTTCAAACAGACCTTGTGGTTCAGTGCTGATCCTACAAGTACCCCAGCAGGACTCCTGGACACCCATAGTTATGGCTTTATGTAAGTATAGCATTACACAATGAGAAACTCAAGTGTCTTGGAGACTTTATATGTTCTGTTATGTTGAATTATATTGAACATCTTAAAAGAAAGTTGAAGACTCTAAAAATGTTGGGTTTTAAGAAAATGTAGCTATTATAAGCAGCAGAAATTTATGTTGTCTGTTAATCTTGTTTTTGCTAAATGCCCTCAAGTTGGTTCCAACTCATAGTAACCCTGTATAGGGTTTCCAAGGAGCAACTGGTGTGATTCAAACCAATGACTTTGTGATTCAAACCAACTTGCAGTCCAATGTTTATCCTATAATGCCTCACCAGAACTGTTAATAGCATGAAAATTCTACTCTTTTTACAAACTTTTAGTTATTGATGCAAGCTTATGAGTTTAGTGTTGTTTTTAGCGTTTTCATTTTTCATTCACATACACATGCGTGTATCTCTATACACACATACACTACTTTCCCCACGAAAAGATAAAAATTAGCAGAAATATTTCATATTTTATTAACTGTGAAATATTTTAATACTTCATTTCTAAAATGCACTTAGTGACGAACGATGTTGATGTTGTTTAGTGCTGTTAAGTTGAGTGACTCTGTTTACGTTTTTTGAGGAGCAGGTAGTGGGTTTTTGTGTTTAGCCATCCAGTACTTATCAAACAGTGCCACACTAGGACTCTGTTAATGATAATTAAATGATATTTAACATTGGAATATTTTATTTGCTGACGGTTGTGGCCCATGCTGCTCTATGGGAGGAAGATGAGGTTTTCTGCTCTTGCAGAGATTTGTAGCCTTGGAAACCCTATATAGGGTCGCTTTGAGTTGGAACCAACTTAATGGCACTTCAACAACAACAGCTTATTTGCAGAAGTAATATTGGAAGTCTGTCTTCCCACCTGAGTATTGTGTATATTACCTGTACTGATCATCAGTATTCTGATTCTACAGGTATGAACTTCCAGCCTGAGCTCTTTATTTTACACTGTTGTTGTTAAGTGCTGTTGAGTGGCTGGGGAGTTGGAACCACCAACCTTGTGGTTTGTACCAACCTAGAAGTTGAGTGTTTATCCTGCAGCGTCACACCAGGACTCATTTAAGACTAGAGGACGTTTTAAAAAATTGAATATGTCTTCTAGAATGAGTAGTTCCTCATGAAGCTCAATTCTTATAAATAGAGGTAAAGCAAAGAAGGAAGTCATTCATTTTCATGTTAAAAAGGGTTCTAGAGGAAACATTTCCTCATATGGTCCAACTATTAACTGCAGGTGAACTAATCCAAATAAGGAAAACCTATTTCTTTCCAACTATAAAGTAACTGAAAAACTGACTCAAGGCATTTTCTTGTATAAATATATATTTTTATTA